ACGTATGATCCATTAGAGCATACCTGACTTTCTTCAGTCAGAGAATCGTTGAATTATTTATTCTTGGTACTAATTATTAACTTGGAGAAACTCATCAGACAGACAGGTTCCAAAAAAAGGGTCATAAACTGCACATCTGGAGAAGAAAACAGAATAAAATGTTTACATGACAGATGTTCGAGCCGATACCCTTAAACCACAATTTTCTGAACAGTTTCCTTAGAGAATGAGAAAAACATTAATATTTTATTACTCTACAGCTGGATCCCATGAGGCAAACTTAAGGATTCATCAGAATGCCCAAATACTGTACACTCAAAAAAAACAAACCAAAAAAAACCCCAGCCTGATCTTGTAAGGATAAATATAAATGTTTTCACCATTTTCCCTGACTAGTGAGATCCATACACACTTTTTGGACGTATTATATATAAACAGGGAGACAGAATAACAATCACGGTTTAAGTTTATGTCTTTTTTATGTGTTTGCAGGGACATTATTTTGTTTGCGCTAAAAAAAAAAAAGAAGCAGGATCATACTGACTGATATCCAAAATGCCTAACCAGAGCAGACCACTAATTACCCCAGTTAATTAAATTCATCATTCAAAACAAATTGAGAACAGATGAGGCTGGAAAAGGATTTGATGAAAATGCATCTTACTGTACATTACAAATAACTGAAACTAAATGAGCACAGGGAGAAAAGGGAAGCTGTGATATTAACACTTTGTATTCAGTAGGTCAAGAGAATAAAGCAAGAGACTGCAGTGTTAATCCTTGTCTGGTGTGCACATTTCCTGTGAAAAAAGCGCTGCAACGTGTGAGGGGGCAAGGTGTCAGAGACTCCAGCTATTGCAATACTTCTCTCATGCCTGAACATGCCAAAGGCCACAATTTGTCCTGCTCCACAAAGTGGATCTCTGTTGTGCCAGAACAGGTCGTAATTAATCTCTAGTGTGCTAACAAGGAGAGGCAAACTTCTGCAAACAGGCTGTGCAGTACTCCTGCAGATGGTCAAAGCAAATAGGTATTAACTGCCTACACAGTCTATTTATACACCAGGACAGCAAACTGGTTTCACTTGGTTAGCCTGGTCATATATGGGTTCAAATTCTCAAACACATTGTGCTGAAATCATTCATTCTTACTTTTTAGAAGCAGCAGTGAAACAAAATACTCTACAGGTAACAGTAAATGTATATGGGCAGAGGGTGGTGACTATCATACTACCACAAGATACCACATTTTAATTAAGTGCAGAATCTATATCTTTAACACGCTGCTGGGGAGCTACATTGATCACATCACAAAGCAGGGCTATAGTGAGTCTGGGCTCCGTGAGAATAGCTCCCCTACAGTTGCCAGGTCTATCCCTGAAATTTTCCCACACTTAGAAGAAGCAATTGCCTTCCTGCATGGGCTCATATTTTACTTTAACATGAATACCACTTGACATTGCCCTTTAAATCCCAGCAAGTGATGCACTTCACCTGCAATGACTCTGCTTGATTTGCAGGAAAACACAAGGGAAGCTGGGACTTTGTGGGACTTCTTAGAAAACTTGAGCTATGGCTTTGTGTTCTGACCTCCACCTCCTCCTTCCTTATCTGTATGTGTACATGTGTGACTTTTAACTGTTCACTGCTGTATACTCTCCCATATCCTGGGCAGCTGCTCATATTACTGCTGTAAATAATGTAATTATTATTTCCCCCCCACTCGATGTAAAAAATAAATAAATAAATATTATTTTGTTACATGCACGTTATATTCTATTAGTTGCCACTGAACACCAGTGATGATTTGGGGTTTGTGCAGTGATGTCCAGTCACAAAGTGATAGGAAAAATGTTTGCTTACCAGATTCAGCACCGTTTCAACAATATCCCGGTTGCTAACCTCTCCAGCCTGGATCAGTCCGGTAAGAACGGCAAATTTCATCTTGATATTCCGGATAGGAACCGATGGATTCATAATCCCAGCCGGGAGGACCACTGAACCTGATCCGGACATCATCACTGTCTCACCGGCCGCAGCGGAGACTGCAGCCGCGTGTTGCCCGTGACCTGGAGGAGGTTGTCGGTCCGAGAGCGACAGCGAGCCCGGCATTGTCACCGGTCTACCGCTTGTCATTTCCAGCCAAACCGGGAGCTTTTCAGGAGCTGTTACGCTTTATCTCTGCAATATACTTAATCGCTGTTCTGGAGCATCACGAAAAAAGAAATGAAATAAACACTCGAGAAAAAAAAACAAAAACAAAAAAAGCAAAACACCAAAAAAGAAATCACTCTCTTTCAGTGAAATCCACTCTGAGGAGTTGTGGTCAGTAGGTCCGGTGTGAAATCGGTGCCGGGCAGTTTACCGAGCTGACAGACCTGCGATGAACACACAAAGCTGTGTGTGATTGTGCCGCTCTCAGGATGTGCGCTGTTCAGTGGCTGTGCTGCCGTCACCGCCATGTTGCCGCCCCCTACCTGTCGTCCCGCTCACTACGCCTGCGTTGTCTGAGATACCGGAGACCTGTCGCTTCGAGCTGGAACAGACAAGACCGGCTGGCTTCAATAACTTTAGACAGACACTTAATGTAGACAGAAAAAATATAGACCGTGTTATCCTGATAGCTAATGAATTTCAACAGGTTTCTCATTTCCTTAAGTCAAAATTAGATTTTACCGGTGAAGGTTAGAGATTTATCTATTTTTTTATTAGAGATGCTAATTTAGTAACTTAGGTATGAGAAATGTTGTAATTGGAAAATAGAAACAATTATATGTAAAATAAAGTAAAATAATATGAAATTAACACTGAGTAAAATAGATATGGATGGGATGAAAAGAAAAGAAAACCACATGTGGTGGAAATATTCGCATTAAAAGCAGAGCCATAGCCGAACATTACAGATGACTTCCATTGTTGGAGCACCAAACTGTATTTACTGTATTCAGTGATGAGTTGGTACACCTGAATATAATACCTGACCAGTGATATTATGCTCATATACCAGCTTGCTAAAGATACCTGTACTCCTATCAAAAACGAGAATTACCAAATAACTCACTGTTGCTTTTATTTACATATTCGTGAAAGGTTAATCAGCACTGCACATGTACATTTGTAAACGTCTGTATTGTAACTGACAATTATTATTATCTTTCTCACAAAAATGTATGGTAGTTTCGTTATAGAGCGCCAGGTGTGGCATAGCTCATGAAGGACAAATGTGACCTTGGATAGTCTTTTATGCAAGGCAATATAATTTAATTACATTAGGATGAATACTAATACTGAGACAGGGTTTCTCTTAACTTTCCTACTGAATTAGGGAGCAGTCGTCTTGTGGACACACATTCGAATGGACAGTGTAATTATACTATGCAGCATTTCTGCCACTCCCCCCCCCACCACCTTAAATGTTTTATGAGACAATTAAGAGGGCTGACTTCTCCAATATCTTTTACATGCCCTTATTTCTCACAGAGTAATGACTAAAAGATACACTGTTAGGGCATTTCCCACTTATTTGTTTTTATAAAAGAAAGAAAAATGAATAGATGGATAGATGTAATCCCATATAGATACATTTTAGAGAACGTTTCTGTGCACAAACATCTGTTTTGTTTTGTTTTGTTTGTTTGTTTGTTTTAAAAAAAGATAATAATCAAAAAATCAGTTTCCAGCATTTATATAAAACAGGCTGGCACTGACAGCTTGGGACAATTCTGTCAATCTTCCTTTCTGACAGTCGGAAGCTGAGCGTGCATTTCAAGAGCTCATTACACAGATCTGTGTCAGCATGGCTTCAAAAGAGTCAGTTTTTACTGCTGTGCCTATCATGACTACCATTGTGTAATTTTGATGTATTTTTTGATAAACCACCGCAAAATGATCGACATTGTAATATTTGCCAGTTCACCTGCGAATGAAATGTAGAGGTTTGTTGAATGACATTGTTTTTTACTCACGTTTCTCGCGTTCTATTTTTCTCTTGCTATATCTTCGCATAGTGGCTTAGTTTGTAGAATGCATTGTATAAGGCATAAATATATTCTATTTTATTTTTTCTAATGTTTTGTCTCTGCATATCAACGCGTCACTGAATCAATGTAACTGAGAAACAAACACTGCTAGTGTTGAACTGAGATCAGTGAAGGAGGCTTGGTCTACACACACCAACGGCACGTACATAAATGGCATACAAAAACCTAGACTGCCATCAAAAATGTATTGTATATGTATGGTGATATGTTCTCAACGTGCTAAAGTAAATAAATGTACCGATGGCAAGATTATTAAGAGGAAAAATCAAAGCTGCCACTGTAAAAATCATTGGTAAAGATCATCAATCTGCAAATAGAGGAGCCATCTCGTGGCAGAAACTGACAGTTTTTCTAGTTTAACCCAAGTTACCATATATGTCTTGATGTATTCTCAATCATTCAGGTAAGTAAATCTCCAAAAGTTTATTCTGTTCATTTGGACGTAGCGGTTTCAGTGGGAGAAACGTTTCGTCACTCATCCAAGTTACTTCTTCAGTCTCAGCTGACTGTTTCCCCAATCTTATAAACAGTACATTTGCAAGTTACCATATAGTTACCATGTAGTTTGGAAGAAAAAAAGCCAGAGAATAATAAAACAGTCTTTATTAGCTTTTTCAACCACTACTGAGGTGGCATTATAAAAGCAATCAATTTCAGATAAGTCATCCTCTGTGCACTATTTCGACTCACATGAGTTTTGTAAAAAGCCAGCAGAGGTCCCTCTCATTCCAAATCAGAGTGAAGTGTGTTTTCTTGCTAGGTGTAATGAACTTTTGTATTTAAAAATATTTAAGTATTTTTAAATGAGAATTTCTGACACCTCTTAAACGTCTGTAACAAGTTCTTAGCTTCTTTTGAGGATTAATCGAGTTCACATACTCCCAAAAATACTGTTTAAATTTTTACTTATTTTTAGAATCACATAATACAATTAGGAATCAGCACACAAAGCTTTTCATCATTTTCATGGTTTTATTTTTTTTTAAAAAAAAGAAATGTTTGGACCTGACTGCACAATCCAGTACCCTAAAGCAGGTATGATCAAGTCAAACCTTAAGTCACCTTCTTCACAACCACTGAAGGTCAACGTTTATTACAGTTACACCCATTTCAAAATGGCAATAAAGGAGCAAAGTAAAACCAGCTTACAATTTTGTACCATGTGTTTGACAGAACGGTTCACACAGAAAAATGAATTAATATATGGAAAATTAACATATGTACTCATTACCCCTTCATATATATATGTATATATATATATATACATATATACAAAATATACATTTTATTTAATTTACAGTATATTCACACACACACACAGACACACATATATGCACTTGAGTGTACATCATAATAATTATAGCTTTAAATCTGAAACAAACAAATATATATGCTTCCCAGAAGCATTTCAGAGCTCGAATGTCCTAGACATTGTAGAAACAATAATACAATAATATTATTAAAGATAATTATTATAACATACAGTTTTAGAAACATGAAGGTAAATAAAATAGTCATAAATGTCAATAATATTGGCAGGATAATTAATTTCCCAATGAAGAATTATGCTCACCACCTATAAGATGTCCTCTTTTAAAATTGTGCAATTTCAGAGGAGCCATAAGTTATTATCAGAGCATTTTGCATTCAGACAAACAAACAATAAACTGTGCTTTCGTTCTGGAGCCCCGTCTCTGCTTTTTGTGGCTGTTAGCAATGACTCAAAGGCTCAATGTTGATCTCAAGGCTGAGCAGACACAAGCAGCAAAGAATTTCAGATTTTGGTCTCTGGGCCGTCTGTGATTAGTGGCTGAAAGGAGTTGCGGATTCGGGCAGCTTCTGCAGCACAAAGGTGGCCGAAGGCTTTGTTGTACCAGTCTGGAGTCCTTCCCCTGAAATCAAATCACTATATTCAATATACTATAGCATACATCACAAAATATTTAGAAATGCAGCTCAAACCATAAGAGAACAACTTTTCTTTATAGCACTTTCTAAAAGAATCTTGTGTAAAAGCTCATTGTAGGACTTACTTCATGTCCACTCTGCAGATGTGAGTTAGTCTGGACTTTCCTGAGCCACAGGGCTCTAATAGGTAGTTAGACTCCAGGACTATAGCCCTTATCCCTCCTAAAGGAGGACAGTCTTCGTGCTCTATAGACACAGAAACCAGGGAGCAAGCACCTTTTGGCAAGTCTGTCCTCCATGACCTTGAATGCGCAGAAAGAGACTGATTATGGTATCTAAAGAAATACAATTTGAGCTATTTCCAAAATAAGAGATCATATGGTGCGCTGAGTTTTCTTAAGCACTCACCTAAGAACTACAAAGTCCCTGCTGGGATGAGGGGGCATGCGACTCAGGACATACTGAAACATTTCTGTTTGCCTGTCCAGTGTCTCGCACACTTTCCACTGAAGGAGGTCCATATCCCACAGGTGGCGCTCTCGCAGCACCCGGTTCAACACCACAGATGGCGGTGCTTCCACCTCGACAGACACTTTCCAACGTCTCAAAGGGTTGCCATCTCCCACCTGGATCACACACATAAGACACAAAAAGGATTGTTTTCATGTACCACTATCTTTGAAATAAAGATAGTGGTTTAAGTTTAGGTTAGAAAACTAACCTTCTTATAATAGAGCTCTGTGTTATCAGAGCTGCTGCACGACACCCAGTATTTGGATTTTTCCCGGGCCTCTTTCAGCAGGTTCTGAAGTCTCCCCTCCAAAAGTGTTTGGTATGTTCCATCCTCATCTTCCGACTGCTTGCACAGCTCGTCAATTGTTGGTGCATGCAAATCAGCCTCCACGTAGGAATTACGCGACTGAGTAACCATCTCATGAGGGATCTAATGGGTGCATAAAAGCATAAGGTAAGGCTGACAGCAAATAAAAAACAAGACTAGATACTGCATCCAGGCTTTAAATTCTTACTGCATATTAAACACAGGTTCTCGTACCTCAAAGAGGCGGTTGCACTCTATGATCATGTGAGCGAGGCCCTGAGCCGCTGCTAAATTCTCATTCAGATCCTTCTGGTCTGGTCTGCCAGTAGCATACTTCTTATGCATGGCCCTGGAGATTATATGAGGAGAGAAAACCTATTAGGCCAGCAGGGACTTCAGGTCAACATCCCCACAAGAAACAGTATATAAACCCTTCTTCCGCTCTGCAGGAAACCGCTTTGATCTCTTTAGCAACAATTTCAACTTGCTAAATTAGAGAGCTTTGCTTTGTTTGTACACAGCATGATCTCATAAAACATTAAGCTTTAACTGGGGTAAAACTGGCCCAGAAAGAGAGCTATCTACTGCACCCCTGAGGGATGAGTAAAATCTGTAACCCACTTTATAGCGATCTTTATGGAGCTGTGGGGAAGATAATCATGCAGGAGTTAATGTATGCATGTCTTCATCATTATTTTTGTAAACACAGAATGGCAGGTAATGTTACCCAAAACCACAGACACCAAGTTAAGTGTAACACAAGAAAAAAAGAAAACAATACCTTGGTGATAGATTGTCCTTCTTCATTTTGTTGAGATGGAAGAGGGACGGAGCCAGGCACACAGCAATATTCATAGGTGTCATCTGGTTCTCCGCCACAGAGGAAGTGACATCACTAAGGAAACAGAGCAGCGTCTGCAGTACCTCTCGATTTTCATCAGACATCAACATGATGGCGGCCTGGACAGCTTGCAATCTTTGGTCCTTTGGTACATCTGCACAGATGAATAGAAGGATTAAAAAAACAACATTTCTGCTTTGTAGAGGTAGTGATAACAGATAAAAATGCAATCTTTACTTACACTGGTAAATATGGAGGAAGGTCTCTCCCAGCTTGCTGGTGAGTAGGGGCTCAGGTAAATCCCTGAAGAACTGCTTCACCATATCAGCCACATCATAGGCAGACTGATCCTCATAATTGACATTTTCTGGAGAACTTTCATTCATCTGCCTCAGAGCTTGGATTCGAGACTTCACGCCTGATTTACGAAAAAGACCCACCTGGAAGCAAAACAGTTATATCACATAAACTTCATATATGAAAATGAAAGGCATGTGCAGTGTGAGAGTATCGTATGCTGTCACTGACCTGGTCGAGACACTGACTCCTCAAGTACCGCAGGGCCTGCTGCAGGCCGAGGGGCAAGGGCTGTCCTGAACGCTGCACATGCACAATGAGAGGAACTCCAAACACATTCTTATCCTTATAATCTGGTACCTTCATTCTCTTCATAAATTTTGGCACAGACCTAGGAGAGACATTAGCACATGTTTTAAAAAATTCTCTTTACACTAAAGAAAGATGATGGCAATGAAGGACGCCAATACAGTATATCAGGATTTGGACATATACATACATAAAGAATACTGATGACTGAGAGATATTATCAGTTCAAAGAACTGTAATAAAATCCAAATTGAAAATAGGAATCAAACATAAGTAGTTGGGAGAATATGTTAGACTTACCAAGTCCAGCCATGTTTATTGGTCAGGGAATACTTCTCCATGATTGCAGTCAAACGCAACAGTGAAAACTTTTGTAACAAACTCAGCTGGCCTGCTGATTGGTTTGTGATCTGCAGGGATGCTCTTGAGTGACTTAGACGATTAGATATCTGAAAGCTGGGCCATCTTAACCTAATGCCAAGAGAGATGAAAAAAGCAAAGAAAATAGAGTAAACTTTTATTCATCTTAACATACTCTTACTGCTTAGTTCCATCAGTTCAGTCTTACCTATTAGGTCTTGTGAGTGATGCACCTACACCGGAGTCCCTCCTTTCCCTGAGCCTTGTAGATTCTGTCTCTGTAAGTGATACTTTGTCTCTGTCTCCATCACTAGGCACGATCTGGCTTTCCGTGACAGAATTCCCCTCAAAGTCCAATGTAATCTGACTAGAGGACTGAAGCCCTGCTGTATCATCCTTCCCGTCATCGATCTGTACTATCCCCTCGCCTCCAGGTAACACATTTTTTGACCAGTGGTCCACTATCTGTTGTAGACCATTGACATGCAGTAAGATGTCATCCAGGTGTGGAAACAGATCCTCTTTCTCCAGGTCTATCAGGTCTCCAGTGCTGGCATACAGATGCGAGCCAGGAACATTATCGTACACACTGATGCGGCTACCTCTGGAAGAGGACTGGGTAGCAGGCCGTGTTTCCTTTCTGCATGAAATTAAAGGGGAGTCCAGGTGCATGCTGCCAGTGTGCCAGTTAATTGAGGCGCCACCAGTTGGGGACAGGCTCTCTATGGACAATGCTTTGGGGAAGGTTCCTGGCTTGTGGTCTTTGGGAATGTGGACCACGAGGTTTTCATAAGAGCAAAATTCATTTCTACGATTTTGTTCTGCAACTTTATTCATTTGGGATCCTGAGAAGATGTCCATGTCCTCCAAATACATGCCGCTGCGTTTATGGTCAACACGGTGAGGCTTACGCTCTTTTAGGCTGGGTGTGCTGACAGTGCTTCCACCAGAATGGCTGCTACCCTCACTACTGGAGTGGGACGGCAGAGTTTTATTGCATGGTGGTTCCAGAGCTCCACCGTCTCCATTTATTATGTCATCACACCTCAATTTCTTCAGGGCCTGGGCCTCCTGCTGCAGCACAGGAGAGCTGATTACCAGCGTCTTATGGCCTTTTCCCAGAGTACCTCGGGAGCTCAGTGTATCCATACGCTTTAGTAACTCCTTGGCACGAGAGTGGGTTGTTTTGCTGTGCTTGTCAGATGGTGAATTGAAGTGAGCAAATTCTTTGGGGATGTGAGGCATTGTGAGAGAAGTCGAGTCTGGCATTGCTGCAGTGTCTGAGCAGGTGCGGTTGGAACAGTCAGAGTCCTCTGTGCTGAGGCCCCGATGACCGCTGCCTCCGCTGCTCTCGCTGTGCAAAGAAGAGACCTCTGGCTCACTGAGGTCTGTCAGAACACTCTCGCTGCTGGTGGTAGTTCTCAGAGGCACACCATCTCTGGAGAGCTCACCCTCTCTGTGATTTCCCAGCAGACTGTCAATGTCCTGTAACCTGGACCAACGCCGGCTGCTCCACTCAAAGGTCCATTTGTCACTAATAGCAAACAGATCGTCTTCATCAGAGTCTTCACTCTGGGAAAAGAAAGATTATTTTACACTAATTATTCTGGCAGATATAACTGCAACTGCTGCTATTTAGGTCTCATGAAAGTTACTGCAGTAGTAAATAACTATCCACAGAAATAACAATAACAATCAAAAAGACCATGGATGCAGAAACACTCCACGAAGGATAATTTGCATATTTTACCTCTTTGTAGTGTGTGTGTGAAATTTTTTTCACTGGAAGCTAAAACGTGTGTACTATCACACAAAATCTATAGCACAAAGGATAGCTACAGGCAATAAAAGGAAAATGTGTTTGCAAAGGACTAATACCGTTATGCAACCAGCCAAGAAAAGGCTACAATCCAGTGCGTGAACAAATAAGAAGTAATAACTGTGAATGTAATAATAGTTGTATATAAAGATAAAGTTAGGTTCTATTTGTGCTGAAGCATGTATTAACATTTCTTTTCAACATCTTAAAAATTACTGATAACTACTGTGGTATTAGACTCAAAGATTTTTTTTCTATTAAGAGCTACAAACGAAGAATAACAGCTCAAAGCACTCCAGACTATGTGGAGAGTCGCACACAAAAGGCTATTGTTGTGGCAAAAATGAATATATAACCAACTGAGTCATAAAGTGTTTTAAAAATATATCTCTTCAAGGAGGATGCTGTTTTTTCCCCAAATCCAAAATGCATTTAATGTTATATTATACTTGTCACAACTGTAAAAGTAAAAAGATTTTAACACTTACTTTCTTCTTTGGAAGATTCACATCAAGTTTCATAGAGGCACACTTATTTAAAGTGTGGAGTCGCCTGAAAGAAAAACAGCCTTAGGATGAAAAGCTGTTCCAAGCAAACAAAAGAAAGCAGCAGTAGTAATCAACACCAGATGAGCAGACTAGAAAAAGATCCACTTCTGTTTGTTGTTTAAGTGTTAATCTGATCAGTGTCTGTTTTGGATGCACAGCCAGACCCAGTGGGAAACTGAATTTATCCATATAATAGTACTCTGAACCTAATGAACACCGGTAATTGTCAGTTGCTCTGTTCTCTAAGTGATAGTGGCTTGAAGGGCTGCCTGTTGCAGTCTGACAAATGTGAACTTTAGTTCAACTTTGCCTAATCAAATTCATTCACAATTCCGCCTATACCTGTTAACATATAGGTCTTAAATGTGATCTTCAACTTAGCATGGTGATTTAGAAAGACTGTCCTTAACATGAAGCATAGACAATATAGCTGTAGGTTTTGCATTTATCATAATCTATTTATAAATACTGATGTACATTTCCTTAACGTAGTTTTATAAAAAGAAACAGTGAATGCTTTCAGTATCTCTAATAAACATCATGAACTAAGGCTTTGAGCGTATCCTTAGTGATTACAGTTTATAGGAGTCTGTGGGTGTGCCAACTGGAATTTACAGTACACTGTACAACGGCACTAAGAGCTGAAAATGACCCAACCGCTACAGATGGAAAAAATGACGACATAAGAAAACACACTCCCGCTAAACTGAGTGTTGGCTTTAGACAAAGAAACAAATGTGCGGTAAGATAATTACAAGCTTTAACAGCTCCACATACTGCTAACAGGCTTTTTTTAACCGACTGACAGTATTGTTCTGTGTCAGTAAAAGGCCTCTAACCATTCTCCAGTGTTACAGAAGGGGTTAGTTAAACAAGACGTTCCCATGATTGTTACTGTAGATAGTGGAGCACTGAAGAGGGGGATCTCTAAGCTGGGGGCCCTTTATTCCGCAGGCCAGAAGAGCTTTGAATGTGGTTACTATAAAAAGGAGGCTGCTTAGTGAAGGATCAGAGAGCAACTCACACACATAAAATAACTATCTGCTTCAGTTCAATCACAAGATGAAGACCGCTGTTTATTTTTGCACACATGCCTGTGGTGGCAAAACCGATAATAAAGCCATCCTAATGTTACCATAGAGATGGAGGAACGTCGTGGACAACAATCACGTTAGAGGTGGAACTGTTTCCAATTGTGTTGTATTTATCCTGTGGCTAGTTTGGAATTCAGATGAGTTGCTTTAGGGTTGTTTAGAGTCACAGCATATTGAGCTGTGCAAGGCACCCTTCACGTTCCTTCTGCTTTCCTCTTGGGATGGTTGCTATAGTTACAGTGGTAGCCTGAGTGCTGTTTGCATCTTGGCTTGAAAAAGTATATGCGTTGTCTCACCCTACAAGAACGTTATGTATAACTACCAGTTGTTGGCTTAGTGTATGTTTTTAGTCATTCTCTGGCAAATTAGGAAATCATATACAGTATTTATGCATAGTTGGGTTAGATGAACAGCAGAAGAGTCTCATCAGTGCTCTTGCAAGTGAAGGATTTAATAAAGCTGCAAGAGGCATAAAATGTGGAAAAGGCCAAAAAAATTTAAAAACAGCCGTATCCTCTTGCAGTGCTAAAAATAGGTCAATGATCCGATCTGACTTCTAAAGAGTCAATCACACTATTGGACAACCATATCCTTCCACCTGGTGTTGTTCTAATTTATGCTAGCCAAAGTCTCCAATCCCAAGCTAAGTGTTCTAAAGCCTGGAAACTCTCTTATCTCTCAGATTACTTACAAAGTACAAAAAGGACATCAGGTTAATATAGAAGTATTTTATCCAGTGCAGCCAAAGAGCATGTTGCTTAAACCAACTTTAAACCAAAATTTTCATTTTGTCCATTTGGGGACCACCATATCTGTGCGACCTGGTGAAGGTCTGTAAGCAGTGATTTAATAAATGAAATAATAAGCATAACTACAAGTGGGAAACTAACTTCATAGTAAGCTACTTTCAGCTGATCACTTGCCACAAGGGGTCCCCACAGTGGGTAGCTTCATGTTTGATTTGGCAGAGTTTTAAGCTGAATGCCCTTCCTGACACGATCCCAAAGGGGATAACCAACGTGTTTATGTAATAACAGTTGTATAAATACAGGATTTGTGTCTGCAGCTTAGCTTTTTAAACTTTTTTCACATCATTCCATGGAAGTTGTGCTTCCATGCCAAACTTCACAGGGCCTTTAACATAGCTCCACTTCAGTGTTTGCAACTTTATTTCAAAGATTCGCTATAAATATCTGACATGGCATTACCTGCACAGAGGTTCCACAAGATCTTTGTCCAAAAAATCATGATCTCTTTTCACAGGAGTAATGTCAATGGGAAACTGCGAATCTGGAAATAAAAAGAATAAAAGTTGGAGAAAGAAGCAGTGTTCAAATTCCTCCCTGACATTTTAGCAGCGTTCTTGGATATGATGAATGGAAAGAGAGATGGGGAAAACACATTCTTTCCAGAACTACATTGAAAGCTGGGAGACCATTAAACTTGTTTTGTATGTGATGCTAATGAGCAGAGACAGAATTTGTTCAAATAACAGCGTTCAGGCTTGTGAGCATTACGTCTTGCCCTGGGTATGGGCTTCCTCTTACATAACTTATGAGGATGAATCTAACATTCCACTGCATTCATGTCAAGTTGTCGACTTCTTACAAAAAGCAGAGGTTGCTCGGTCTGATTTTAAAGTTGGGCAAATATTCTGTCAAACTGTATTCTGGACTTAAAAAAAATGGCAAAAGCTTCAAACACTGGGATAATTTCTAGTACACAATCCCAATATCATACTAAAATTATGTTAACTTATTATTCACTCAAACAGCGTTGTCTGTATTCATTGCCAAAGTCCACATACTATCTACAAACTGTCAGAAAACAAATATATTGCACCACAGCACATCAGAAGTCTGGCCACAGCGCAGAGATCTGAGGGAGTATAGCTACCTTAAGCTCTGATAAAACCCAGTTCTTCCCATGACTTTAGTCTTTAAGCACAGAAGACATGTTTATGTAGTAATCGTAGCTTGGAAAAGATTAGACTTTAAAAGCAGCTGAATTTTCCACTTGTGTTGCTGTGTCTAGGGATCTGACTGCGGTCCAAGCTCCAAGGCTTCCTGAGAATAGTGGTGTAAATGAGGCGCACTATGCAGCTCATGAATACATGGTTTTGTGTACAGTGTTGGGGGCAGACCAGATAACACTGTGTACCATTATTCACTCATCAGCTTGCAAGTCCATGTTCAATCAAAAACACTGTTCTATTTAGGAACAGATCTAAAATTAAAAAAAGCCATTTTTAGTTCCTTACAGAAGTCTTTTATTGCTGTTCTACTTTGTTAACCTCTTCCCTTTAATGTCAACATTTCGACCCTTTGGTTATGTGTGAATGTGTGGAGGAGTTTTTTTGGTTTTTTTACCTTCAAAGAGCTGAGCATACTGGGGAAATCCTGCTGCCCGCAGCCAATCACACGCCTCTTTCGCCTCAATTTCTGAAATACAAGAAATTTTGTTGTTTGAGATAAAAAGTGAAATATAGTCACATTACATGAGTTAGTTTTCATTTTGACAAAGAAACTGGGCTTTCAAGTGAAACCAAAACCAAGCCTGCGCCTTTTTCCAACATGCGCAACAGACTTAAGATTGGACAGACAGCAGATCTGGGTAAATCCAGAGATACTGTTATGTATAAAACAAACGGTGACAAAATGTAAATAGGGTAAAAGGATCCTTATCAGCACTCTATGCCTCTTTAATAGAGTCCGAGCAAAGCAAACGAGTAGAGTTTGTGATAATTGATCCCTCCAGTCATGATCATAAACTGGTCCCGGTGACCTGCTGAGTGAGACGTCTGCAGAGCCGCTGATGACAAGGAGAGGAAACAGACCATTGGCGCCTTTCCATTAATGCTAATAGAGCTGGGTGACATTTAGCGCCTACACAAGACATGCTGTCTGACACACCAGTGCTACAGTAAATAGATTGCGTTACATTAGGAGAGGAAATGTAAAACTGTAGTCAATAAACATCAGAATTTATAAGAATGTGTTAGGAGAAATAATGCAGGTATTATAAATGATTATTATAGCTTTTTTATGTTAAAAAAAGGCCTACTTGTCCTCATTGAAGAAGATTATTTGTTGTTTATTGCAGTTTCCTATAAAAACATTTTTCTTAAGGTTTTTAAACTTCTGGTTGTTCTGAAAAATGCTTTTTGTTTTAGTTTTTGTCTCACGATAATTAACAAACTGATCCAAAGACTAATTTATAACAAAAATTCTTAAAGTTTCAAAAAAACACATAACCAAACAATGCCTTACATCATGGTGAGTCACTCCACAGGTACATTTTAAGCATTAGAAACCTAACTGACTCTGTGGTAAATTATTTTACATAAAACATATGAAGCACAGATTTTATATCTACCTAAATCTATTTATGAAACAGCTCTTACCAGTTTCAGGGTGGGTTTTTTGTTGTTATTGTTCAAAAACCTTTCCACAATTTGAAGAAGAATACAGACAGTAAATATTACATCCAGAATAATCGTGCATAAACTGCGCCAGCGGCTGACAAACAATTCTCCCATTACATCTGAAGTCTTATTTCCAAGCCCTATCTGAGCCTGACACAATACGACTGAAACATAAAACACCATCATTCGTCACACTATACTTCATAATTACAGCAGTTGTATTGTTTAAATGAATATACAGCTATCGGATGTTTTTCCAGATATAATCCTGAACTCACCTGTGCTGCTTTACTTGTTTTCCATCCAGAAATCTATAAAAAGTGACTTTGGTCATGCAACTGAATAAATATTAACAGTTCCCTCTGTCCTTGGATGATAGAAAAGGTCGGCTGTTTACCCCCTTAACCAGCAGTTAAGTCAATATGTGTAGGCGTCCAGGAGCCACTCTGCTCTGTTCCCACCTGTATCAGCAGGAGCTAAAGGTTTTCTGAGCAGCTAGCCTTCCCTCTTAGGGGGATAATATCAGGCCTGTATTATTCAACTGTAGCTCATAGTGAGAGCGTTGCCAGGTCCTCTTGTGTCCCACAGCCACAGGTTGGACCACTGGGAGCAAGTAACATGAGCTGGGAATTCCTCTCTGTTTGGCATTCTGTAACACGATACTGAGACATTCTGTCCTCTCATCCTCTCTCTAAGGAAATCTCTTGTGGATAAAAGGCTGGATGGGCATGATGCCAAAAATGAGAACTTGTGTTTTCCCTCCACAACCCACAGCTTTAAAACTGTGTACAGTATAAAATTACAGTTTCACAAAGAGATGAAACCCAGTTGGGCTGTGACACAATGGCTCTGAATGTTAAAAGCTGTGCACAACTAAAGCATCTGTGGCAACTGAGGGCGTCCTTCCTTTATCATTCTCTTTGTGCAACATTATCCAAAAATATATTTTTTATAAACCCAGCTGTTATGTAATTCATTGCATGGATATGACGTGACAAAATGCCCAAAGAAAACCTAGTTTAGATACAGAATGAGGTGGGTAGTCCCACAGTCTCATCCCAAACATTTGATAAATATTGATTGGCAACAACATGAGCAAAAACCTTTCGGGTTTTTATTTTGTTTTGTCCTGAGCCTTTATAATCTTCTTCCTTTCATACTCTTTTGTAAAACAATCTAAAATAAAAAGAACAAATTCATTCATTCAGTCTTATTGTGAATAATAAGTAATTATCGTCAGTGAAGCATCTGTCTTAATCAGAATCAGAATACTTTATTGATCCCTGGGGGAAATTATTTTTGTTACAGTGCTCCATTATAAACAAACATTAACAAGACAGACAATACGCTAACTAAGAATAGTACA